ACTTTCTAATATTATTAAGTTATTCATAAATCACAAAATTATTGTGAAGAAATATGTAAAAATTTATAAAATCGTATTTTAAAATTAACAATATTTTTTAAAATTACGATACTCAATTATTTTAATATTAAAATTTTAAAATATAAATAAAATTTTATAATTGAGTTTTATTATTTAAAAATATAACTTTTTCCTATAACTTTTTTTCTTCTCTCTTTAAGCTTTCTTATTTTTTCTTCATTTATTTGAAGATAAGAGATCACTCAAGTGATTTTGTAACAAACTCTCAAGTTTTGTTTGATCAGTTTCTTTAATTGGATAAGCAAGTTTTCTAAATTTTTCTTCATCCCTGTATGATCATTGGTTTGAGTCTTCAATTAGAGTATATGCTAATTAATGGTGTGTCTTAATGGAGTTTGTGTTATTCATAAGATAGATAAAACTTTTTGTGTATCTGAGTGTTATAGGATCCATAAACTGTTTGATTCATTTTCCAGATAAGGGAAACTAATTACACTGTTTTTAAGTTATAAATACATTATAATTGCTAATTGTATGGTTGTACGATGATTTGCTTGTGTGATTAAGTTATGTGATGAAATATGATAGGTTAGATTGGGATTAGGTTTTTTAATTTGGCTTGCTTTGAGTTGTATGATGAAATTTGGTAATGGTGTCTAATTGGTATTGCATATGAGATTATTTGAGTTAGTTAAGGTTATGTAATTCGAATTTGATAGGCATTTGTGAGTTTGTTTTTAGATTGAACTTGTAAGGCTGTAATGTAAAAAATCTACATAATTATGTTGTGTAGACTCATTGGATGAGAATATACTCATTGGACAAAGCCAGAGAGCTATTGACTTAGTTGTCGTTGAGTGCTAATATACTTATTGGGCAAAGTCAAAGTCAAAGAGCTATTGACTTGGTGGTTGCTAGATGAGAATATACTCACTAGGCGAAGTCAAAGTTAGGTAACTCACTAACTTAATAGTAGCTAGGCAAGACAAGTCTCACTAGGTGAATTTTGAAAAAGTTTAAGTATGTGAGTTCCAATGATATCTAGTCGTTTGTTGAGTGGGCCTTGAGGCACTACTCGTTGAGTGAAATTAACAGAGTCTGATACTATTTTATATGTATTCTTCTGGTGTGTTTAAGGTAGGAGTTTTTTTATGTTAAAATGATGTTGGTGACAACAAATAAGGTCAGAAGAGACACAAACGGAAGAATCTGTGAATGAACAAGAGAGAAAAACCATAAAAAATTCAAAATTCTCCAATCAAGGCACCTGAAAAAGGAAAAGAGCAACATCAATGCTCTAAATAGTTGCCTGAGAGGAGACCGGACGTGCGATGATGAACTTGAACTATGAGTTAAGCCCAAAATATAAATAAAAAATAATAATAAACTAACTAAAGATAAAAAATAAATATAAAATAAAGATAATATATCTAACAACTATAATAACATTATTCGTAAAGTGGTCACTATATAATGTTCTTTTAGTGGTGATATATTATTAATTGAAATGTTACAAAATTAATGAAAAAATAAAATAAAAATATTTAATTCAATGTCTTCTTATTTATTAATCAACCTATAGCACTTTTCATTTTCTTTATTATTCTTAATGGAAAATTGTTACTATAAAAGATTATGTATATTGCTAAAATTTAGTTTTTTAAGAATTTATAGTTATGTTTCAATTTTATAATACTTTATTTCTTTAATATTATAATATGTATTATTAAAGTATTATTATTATTGTCTTATTAATATTAATTCAATAAAGATTAAATAATTAAATATTAAATCGATGTACACAAATTGAATGGTAGACCTGTTTTTCATTAAATATTCACTATGGATAAAAATCTCTGCTAATATTTGTATCTCACCATGAGGGGAGTAGATACTCAGATGGATGGGGACAGACGAAATACCCTTGTTGCGTCCTGTTTCTCTATCGGTCTCGTCAGCAATCTCCTGCCTAACAGCAGCTACAGAACAACGCCAAATTAGTAACTATACGAGAAACGGAAACATAAAGATCATAAAAAATTAAAAACTAGTAAATGCAAACTAATAGAAATTATCATATTCAAAATTTGATAAGCCCTCCTCACGAAAGAGAGCAATAGTTAACATACGCTTCTGCGAATCGCAAGCAATATTTGCTTTTTCAAAAAATTAAGATGAAGTTGCTTGCTAATTGCTACCACATTGATATGAAAATGTTTGACGTAATATAGACTACCAAAATCAGTAAATTTCTTCCTTGGGAGGTGCATAAATTCAGCATATTCTCTCCCTTCATCAATTTTGTGAAGTTGCAAAACAAGAGGACGCCGAGTAACAATTCCTGCATAAAATAGTGGTTCGATTATCCAGAAACTCGACAAAGGGAGAGAGCAAGAAATACAATCAGGAAATAACATGCTCAATTACCAGATCCACGTGGTAGAAAGTCCTTTCCGACAATACTCTCTAACACTGAAGATTTTCCTGAGCTCTGCAAATTAAAAGTATCGGAAAATTTTAAATTGTATATATTTATAACAACTACAAATATAAAATGGCAACGTTAAAGTTGATCACAAATAAATAATAATCAGCCCAGATCTGTAAGAGATGACAGAGAACTGAACCTCGAATTTAACAGTGTTAGATTAAATGGATACAAGATACAACAAGCAACGTATCAATAAACAAAATCACAAGCGTCATAATACATTCAAAATTATACTGAAAAAGGAAACGGCAGAAGCACAAGATGTGTCAAACCCTCCAAAGGTCATAATACATTCAATATATCACAAACGAAGAATGCATCTTGAATTGATATTTGAAGAATTAAGTGCAACTTATGAAATCAAAAACCGTGACAAATTAATTCAAAACAATAACAAATTGAAAAATGTGCCTTGTAAACCATTCATCCGTAACAGAGAATTGCAATGTTCTGAAGTTTCCATTTTCTATTCAGGATTACCAGGGGGAGGAGATTTATGATCCCGTTATCAAAAAGTTCTATAGAAAGTTATCTCCATCTCGTTGAAATATAAAATATTTTATTGGGAAGAGCGTTTGTGTTATTGAAACCTGTTCTGATGCGTACATCTATTCTTTAAGATTTCCACTAAGGTGAGAAAGAAAATAAGTATTCAAGCATCATGTAGAAACTACAGTGCAATTTAAAACCTTAGTTTCACTTTAGCGAAGGTACATCTTACAATTATCTATTGATACACAACTAAATGATGATCTTTAAAAGATTTTTTAATAATAAGCTAAAAATAACTAATGATACGGTCATATTGATACACAACTACAATGTCAACCATACTTACAACAAAATCAATCACGTGTTAACAATTTCCCACAACATTAAAGACTGTGAGTGTGACCTCAATTTAAAACCTTAGTTTCTGTTGAACTAAGGCATCAACATCTCTACACAACTATCATTACTTACTAGCTTTTGGTTTCAAAAAGACATTTCCACGACGAAATAAAAATCACCAATGAGATTGTTAAATAAATTTTACAAGTACAATAAAAAGGTAACTTTATGCAACTACAATTACAACCACAAGGATCGTAAGGAAACTCTGGTCAGGACCACGGTTAAATCCTTAGGTTCACTTGAACATAAATATCAGCATCATTATATAACGATAAATATTTATAAGTTTTATTAAAAAAGTCTATAATAAATAAAATTCCACCAATGAGATTATCATATCATATGCTAATTACACTGTAAGGCTTTTAGATTTTGTGCAACGACATCATCACCGCAATTACAACCATATCAGTTTACAACTTCTCATAACATCAAATATTGCAATGAAACTGCTACTACAATGTAAAATCTTAAATTACCGAGCCGATTATCACAGCGTAACTATATATTTACTGTTTTCTTTTTAAAATAGATCTCCATAGTAATTAAGAAATCAGCAATGCGATTATCATATTAATACGCCAAATACAAACTCAACTCCATAATTTAATACGCAAAAATCAACCTGAAAGTGGAAATGAATGGACAAAAACATTTTATGAAGAGGAAACATTGATTTGCGTGATCAAATGCAGATTTGATAGAAACACGAAGGTATTAAAATGGTAGAATTTCAATCTCAATGCTTAAGACATAAAAAGTTAAATAAAAATATTGCAGTAGAAGTACCAGTCCTGAATTAGAAAAAATAGTAATATTAACAATCAATGGCGATGAATAAGGCGTAGATCGTTAAGTGTTTTCAATTACCTGTCCTCCGACGACGGCGATGGACGGAAGGGCGTCCCAGAGAGTAGGCATGGCGCTTTCCTCGCCGTGATCACCGAGTGCAGTGCACGCTCTCTGGATTTTGTTCACCAACTGTATCAGATTCTCCATTAGAAGAGTGAGTTAACTCGGAGATTCTGAGTTAGATAGATGTTGAAGCGCCAAATGCAGAAAGAAGGGGAGAAGTATAGGAAGTTGAAGCAACTTTCAGAATGATGGTTTTTGAAAAATTCCTTAACTGATTTCTGTTATGTGTCTATTCACCATTTTGCTCCTCTTCCGCTCTATTAACCAAGTGGATTTCATTTTCAGTGGCAAACAATTTTTATCACATTAATATATACAATATAATATTATATATATATATATATATATATATATATGTGTGTGTGTGTGTGAANGAAAAAATAACACTAGAAGAATTAAGGAACCGAGCGTGGTAGAAAATAATTCTATTAAAGCGAATCACCACATGTCAAGTGATCCTGTGAGTGTGGATGGGTTACATATGCGAGATTTTGTGATGCAGCAATTAGCTATATAAAATCTTAATGAAAGATCTTGCTTCTGTAGTTGCTATAGCTGGATAGCAACACTCTTCTTTCATTGTAATGAACACATCAATGTCATAATACATACATACATACATACATACATACATACATATATATATATATATATATAACTTAATCCGTCTTATTTATTGTCATTTTACATTCTTATTTGACTTGACAACGTTACATTCTTTGTAACTACAAAATACGTGCCAAATTCCTGGTGAAGGATGCCAAGAGGGAAAAATTTTGCCTAAGGCAAACCGTGCCAAATTCTGTATTGAGAGGGTCAAGAGAGTGCTTACCTCCGTCGCATCAGTACCCTTGTCCATAAGATCAATCTTTGTCAAAACACCGAATGTCCTTTCCCCTGAAAATTTAAACTTGTTCCATTAGCAAGCGATGTCAAACCGCATAGTAATCCAACCATGTAGTTAGTTACTCGTAAAAATGAGTTTCAACTCATGTAGAGGGCAAGCGACATTGAGCAATAGATAAATCAAGAAGTAAAAAAGTGAGAACAAAAAGTTCAAAATTGATGCTCGGTAATGTAGGCAACCGTAGAAACTTAAAGAAACCAAGCTTCTGGATCTCTCAAACGCATTAGCCAGTCTAACTGTCTGCTTATAAGTTGTAGTTCCAAACCTTGAAAAAGAAATTATACATGCATGTACTTTATACTAGAGATATTTCTGGAGAATATCTTCATAAAATCCCAGTTAGTTAATTTGGTTTCAACAAAATTGAATTCACCTATCCAATTGACAAATATTACAAGTCAAGGAAATTTGAATCTGACATTCTGAACAAATATGAGAATTTACTGATCTAAGAAGCCTAACAAATGACTTTATCAATCTTCTATATATTGTGTTTTGCAGCAAATATTACGAACCGTCTGGGTTTTTATTTTGAACGTCTTTTTTGCTTTCAGTTTCAGCTGTTTGATTAAATTACTAGATACGGATTAGCATCAACAAACAAATTCTTACTGTTTTGTCACCGAAAAATTAAGTTCAGCATCTTACCTTTTGGATCTACTTCACGGGAAATCTTAATTGCATCTGAGGTTGCAAGGTCTTGATTGGCAGGAGATATTGCCAAGATGATGCAATTCGGCTGCAACAGGTGGTCAGTTTCAGAATTACTTTGAATAACATCGTGAGGAAGTTTAGCTAACACCAGTGGAGCTCATGCATGAGAGAGTATTATCCAACATAAGAATTTGACATCAGTCCTTTTCATATCATATATTTATCTTCAAATGTATTTATGATATCACTAAGGAGCTTATTTTACTTTCAAAGGAGTTATTAGAGAGAGTTTACATATATGATTCATTTGACACGACTTTTAACACAATCTTAAAACAATATATTTACGAGGTTTTTATCTTGTATTTAGTTTTGATTCTAATCAACTTTTAACACAACCTTAAAACAATATATTTATAAGTTTTATTATCTTGTATTTGATTTTGATATTTCTAATCAACGTGAAACTTAGATTCACTCTGATTATTCCCAACACGAAGAAGCATTTAACGTCAAAGAGCTCAATACATATATGGATCAGGATGGATCACTAAATTGAATAGAGTTCATGATTATTAAATATCTAAAATGATGTTTCAATACAACCTTTTTGCATTCAAATTTTAGATCTCATAGCAAATAAATGTTCCCATATGCATCATTTCATTGTATACAGAAATAATTACCTTTTCAATAAACTCCGAACCATATTTTCAATGTCTTGCACAATGCTATCTGGCTGACCCTCTGCAATATACCCCAGAAAACTTTACTGCCATTAGACTCCATATTTATAACGTAATGGTTCTCGGAAATTTACAGGTCAATCTTAAAAACTACCAACAGCGACTTTTGTAAGTCCCGGAAGATCAACCAGCGTCAGATTCACAACTGTCAAGTGAACAAATGCAATGCATGAAATAAGTTCTTAAACAATAATATCTAAGTAAAAAACGTTAACACACAAGAATTTGTTTGTAGGAAAGCCAAGTAAAAAAGTGTCTGTTCCAGGCGATTGATTTTGTGCCCCTTATTTAAAAGGGGCTTTAAAACCATCTTATATATCTCCATGTTGTATTAATTCAAGTATGGTTTTTCTGTTTTACAGTTTTACATGTTCTGTTATAGACTCTTTAAATAAGAGTCATTTATTCTTTTTCAGATACTGTGAGTAAATATCATTTTTACCAGACTTCTTTTTCCTTTGGGTATCCTCTGTTTTCTCTTCCCCTCTGTTTTCTCTCGTTCAAACCAACACTCCATTCACTAAATGTTATCTCTAATCATTTTACAAGTCGTTCTATTTATTTACTTACCTAAGTAAGGACCTAAATTTAATTTGTAAAGAGTAATTTCTTATAATCCAGATGGAGCCTCTCTGTCACTCAGGTGGGACTGTGAGGCCACGGTGGCGACTACTGGTTGAGTTATGCTGGCAAACCGACGCCGGATTAGATGACGATTTCAAATGCCAACCTGCGTTGACAGTGCACACTGCACACCTGTCATTGGTGTCCGAGAAGAAGTAGTTTGGTGGCACAGGCACCGGAAGGTGAATCACTTCAGCGGTGTGGAAGTGGATGCGGTGGCACACCAGAACTGCCTCCCATCTCCTGGAGAGACCCGCGCCGCCACTGCCTTGCTCCTGATCATCCTTCTCCAAGGACAATCTAGTTGCATTGGAAAACTAGACCAGAACACGGTTTACAGCTGAGAATGGAGATGCTGAACAGGGGGTTTTAAGGGTGTTCGGTGCCTTCCTGAACTCGTACTTCAAATAAAGTGACATCTAAAGTAATTCCCGACACGATAATAGAAATAATATAAGTGTTCGAAAATTATATCTACAAGGTAGTCTAAATATTTCATATCCCTTTCATGCTCAAAATCAGGAGATAATTTCACGTTAAAAAATAAGCAATACTCAGAATGTATAGAAATTGAATACTGGAATGTTTAGTAATTGATTTAAAGGAAAATTTGAGATCGAATAACATTTATTTCCTTTTAAAAAAGATGGTAGTTATACTTTCTAATATTATTAAGTTATTCATAAATCACAAAATTATTGTGAAGAAATATGTAAAAATCTATAAAATCGTATTTTAAAATTAACAATATTTTTTAAAATTACGAGACTCAATTATTTTAATATTAAAATTTTAAAATATAAATAAAATTTTATAATTGAGTTTTATTATTTAAAAATATAACTTTTCCTATAACTTTTTTTCTTCTCTCTTTAAGCTTTCTTATTTTTTCTTCATTTATTTGAAGATAAGAGATCACTCAAGTGATTTTGTAACAAACTCTCAAGTTTTGTTTGATCAGTTTCTTTAATCGGATAAGCAAGTTTTCTAAATTTTTCTTCATCCCTGTATGATCATTGGTTTGAGTCTTCAATTAGAGTATATGCTAATTAATGGTGTGTCTTAATGGAGTTTGTGTTATTCATAAGATAGATAAAACTTTTTGTGTATCTGAGTGTTATAGGATCCATAAACTGTTTGATTCATTTTCCAGATAAGGGAAACTAATTACACTGTTTTTAAGTTATAAATACATTATAATTGCTAATTGTATGGTTGTACGATGATTTGCTTGTGTGATTAAGTTATGTGATGAAATATGATAGGTTAGATTGGATTAGGTTTTTAATTTGGCTTGCTTTGAGTTGTATGATGAAATTTGGTAATGGTGTCTAATTGGTATTGCATATGAGATTATTTGAGTTAGTTAAGGTTATGTAATTCGAATTTGATAGGCATTTGTGAGTTTGTTTTTAGATTGAACTTGTAAGGCTGTAATGTAAAAAATCTACATAATTATGTTGTGTAGACTCATTGGATGAGAATATACTCATTGGACAAAGCCAGAGAGCTATTGACTTAGTTGTCGTTGAGTGCTAATATACTTATTGGGCAAAGTCAAAGTCAAAGAGCTATTGACTTGGTGGTTGCTAGATGAGAATATACTCACTAGGCGAAGTCAAAGTTAGGTAACTCACTAACTTAATAGTAGCTAGGCAGACAAGTCTCACTAGGTGAATTTTGAAAAAGTTTAAGTGTGATTCCAATGATATCTAGTCGTTTGTTGAGTGGGCCTTGAGGCACTACTCGTTGAGTGAAATTAACAGAGTCTATACTATTTTATATGTATTCTTCTGGTGTGTTTAAGGTAGGAGTTTTTTTATGTTAAAATGATGTTGGTGACAACAAATAAGGTCAGAAGAGAACAAAAACGGAAGAATCTGTGAATGACAAGAGAGAGAAAAACCATAAAAAATTCAAAATTCTCCAATCAAGGCACCTGAAAAAGGAAAAGAGCAACATCAATGCTCTAAATAGTTGCCTGAGAGGAGACCGGACGTGCGATGATGAACTTGAACTATGAGTTAAGCCCAAAATATAAATAAAAAATAATAATAAACTAACTAAAGATAAAAAAATAAATATAAAATAAAGATAATATATCTAACAACTATAATAACATTATTCGTAAAGTGGTCACTATATAATGTTCTTTTAGTGGTGATATATTATTAATTGAAATGTTACAAAATTAATGAAAAAATAAAATAAAAATATTTAATTCAATGTCTTCTTATTTATTAATCAACCTATAGCACTTTTCATTTTCTTTATTATTCTTAATGGAAAATTGTTACTATAAAAGATTATGTATATTGCTAAAATTTAGTTTTTTAAGAATTTATAGTTATGTTTCAATTTTATAATACTTTATTTCTTTAATATTATAATATGTATTATTAAAGTATTATTATTATTGTCTTATTAATATTAATTCAATAAAGATTAAATAATTAAATATTAAATCGATGTACACAAATTGAATGGTAGACCTGTTTTTCATTAAATATTCACTATGGATAAAAATCTCTGCTAATATTTGTATCTCACCATGAGGGGAGTAGATACTCAGATGGATGGGGACAGACGAAATACCCTTGTTGCGTCCTGTTTCTCTATCGGTCTCGTCAGCAATCTCCTGCCTAACAGCAGCTACAGAACAACGCCAAATTAGTAACTATACGAGAAACGGAAACATAAAGATCATAAAAAATTAAAAACTAGTAAATGCAAACTAATAGAAATTATCATATTCAAAATTTGATAAGCCCTCCTCACGAAAGAGAGCAATAGTTAACATACGCTTCTGCGAATCGCAAGCAATATTTGCTTTTTCAAAAAATTAAGATGAAGTTGCTTGCTAATTGCTACCACATTGATATGAAAATGTTTGACGTAATATAGACTACCAAAATCAGTAAATTTCTTCCTTGGGAGGTGCATAAATTCAGCATATTCTCTCCCTTCATCAATTTTGTGAAGTTGCAAAACAAGAGGACGCCGAGTAACAATTCCTGCATAAAATAGTGGTTCGATTATCCAGAAACTCGACAAAGGGAGAGAGCAAGAAATACAATCAGGAAATAACATGCTCAATTACCAGATCCACGTGGTAGAAAGTCCTTTCCGACAATACTCTCTAACACTGAAGATTTTCCTGAGCTCTGCAAATTAAAAGTATCGGAAAATTTTAAATTGTATATATTTATAACAACTACAAATATAAAATGGCAACGTTAAAGTTGATCACAAATAAATAATAATCAGCCCAGATCTGTAGGCTGTGTTCGCATGAACGGAATTTACTGTTATGCGATTACAGAGCGTGATAAGCAAATGGTGGTGTTTGAGATGATAGCGACGATTTGCGCGACGGATTTGCAGGATACCTCGCTTTTTCATCACCGCAAAAGTGAGGAGATTTGCGAGATTTTAACTGAAATGTCAGTGTGCCCTTAACTTTAAATAAATGTCAATCTGAATCCTAGGAAATGAAAAGGGGTGCAGCAATAATCGATTGGTAAGGGTAACCGTTACATGGTGACAAAGTCCAGTGCGTGTTGGAGAAGATGGTGAACAGTGCGTAACCGGTTACAAGGCTGGGTGTTGCGGTTACAGAAAACTGAAGAAATGCATGGTTTCCTGTAATCGGTTACATGAAGTGTAACCGATACAGAGCTTCCCTGGTGCTGTTTGCTTGCTGCTGCCTGGTGATCTAATCGAACTTGCAGACGAACTTTGCAGTCCATGGAGACGGAAGAAGGATTGTCGTTTCCTTCTTCTTGTTCTTGGTCCCTGGCATTGATGGAAGTAGTCAGTCGGAAGGAGTAGCAATAAAAATGAAGCATTAGAGAGAGAAGAGAGAATGACCTGGTTTGAGTTTGAGGGGAGGAGAGAGCGGAGAGGGGCGGAGGCAACCGGTGATGTAGAGAGCGCAGCGGAGGGCGCGAGGGAAGAATGAACGAGATGGGTTTGTAGAAGAAGGGAGGGAGGGATGGCACAACACAAAGCATGGGCGGATGTATACATACACACCACAGGACCATTACGTAACACTATCTACTTTTATTAGATTGGTCCCTTGTGTCTTGCTATATCTTCAAGAAACTAATTGTCATGTTTAAAAAATTAATATATTTTAAACACATTACAGAAAAATTAAGGAGATAATCCAGATTTGACATAGAGATTAAATTAATAATGAATACAATTTATTTTGGTAAAATGTTAGTGCTAATAGTTTTATTCTTTATTTAGTCTCTTTTTGAATTCTTCAAGTTTTTTTATCCTTCCCCTCTTTCACTACCTCTTTATTCCTCTCCCCACACCACTCACCCCTTTCTAGTCCCCTACACACCAAACGATAGTACCTATGTAATTTTAAATAAAATTATGATATTAAGTAAAAAACATATAAGTATTATCTTCAATATCACTATTAATTGGAGTATATTAAAATGAATCCCGTAGAGAGAGAGAACAAATGATTAATAATGAGTTTATATGAGGTTTTCAAAATGTTTATTGATTTGTAATGATGTCTTACTATCTCAAGTGTTAGAAATGTGGTTTGTTGGATTTGTACGGAATTTGAAACTTAAATTATGTTAAAATTCCTAACATTTTAATAATTTATTTACTACATTATAACTTTTATTTTTAAACATAGTTTTAACAATATTAATAATTTGTCTCTTATAACTTGTTACAATTAATAAACATTACAAAATAACATTTTAATACTTTATAAGAAGGGCAATTGGTAATCTACATTTTCTACCAATTAAACTAATTTTTAAATCAATCACATCAATCAAATCCTACACTAATTCTCACAAACTTTCCTTCCAAATCACTCTCAATACCTCAAATCCACTCAAAAAACAACAAAAAAATTACCTCAAATCCACTCAAATCTCAAATCATCTCCCCCAAATCATCTCATTAAATCCCTTAAAAGAACACAGCCTAAGAGATGACAGAGAACTGAACCTCGAATTTAACAGTGTTAGATTAAATGGATACAAGATACAACAAGCAACGTATCAATAAACAAAATCACAAGCGTCATAATACATTCAAAATTATACTGAAAAAGGAAACGGCAGAAGCACAAGATGTGTCAAACCCTCCAAAGGTCATAATACATTCAATATATCACAAACGAAGAATGCATCTTGAATTGATATTTGAAGAATTAAGTGCAACTTATGAAATCAAAAACCGTGACAAATTAATTCAAAACAATAACAAATTGAAAAATGTGCCTTGTAAACCATTCATCCGTAACAGAGAATTGCAATGTTCTGAAGTTTCCATTTTCTATTCAGGATTACCAGGGGGAGGAGATTTATGATCCCGTTATCAAAAAGTTCTATAGAAAGTTATCTCCATCTCGTTGAAATATAAAATATTTTATTGGGAAGAGCGTTTGTGTTATTGAAACCTGTTCTGATGCGTACATCTATTCTTTAAGATTTCCACTAAGGTGAGAAAGAAAATAAGTATTCAAGCATCATGTAGAAACTACAGTGCAATTTAAAACCTTAGTTTCACTTTAGCGAAGGTACATCTTACAATTATCTATTGATACACAACTAAATGATGATCTTTAAAAGATCTTTAATAATAAGCTAAAAATAAATAATGATACGGTCATATTGATACACAACTACAATGTCAACCATACTTACAACAAAATCAATCACGAGTTAACAATTTCCCACAACATTAAAGACTGTGAGTGTGACCTCAATTTAAAACCTTAGTTTCTGTTGAACTAAGGCATCAACATCTCTACACAACTATCATTACTTACTAGCTTTTGGTTTCAAAAAGACATTTCCACGACGAAATAAAAATCACCAATGAGATTGTTAAATAAATTTTACAAGTACAATAAAAAGGTAACTTTATGCAACTACAATTACAACCACAAGGATCGTAAGGAAACTCTGGTCAGGACCACGGTTAAATCCTTAGGTTCACTTGAACATAAATATCAGCATCATTATATAACGATAAATATTTATAAGTTTTATTAAAAAAGTCTATAATAAATAAAATTCCACCAATGAGATTATCATATCATATGCTAATTACACTGTAAGGCTTTTAGATTTTGTGCAACGACATCATCACCGCAATTACAACCATATCAGTTTACAACTTCTCATAACATCAAATATTGCAATGAAACTGCTACTACAATGTAAAATCTTAAATTACCGAGCCGATTATCACAGCGTAACTATATATTTACTGTTTTCTTTTTAAAATAGATCTCCATAGTAATTAAGAAATCAGCAATGCGATTATCATATTAATACGCCAAATACAAACTCAACTCCATAATTTAATACGCAAAAATCAACCTGAAAGTGGAAATGAATGGACAAAAACATTTTATGAAGAGGAAACATTGATTTGCGTGATCAAATGCAGATTTGATAGAAACACGAAGGTATTAAAATGGTAGAATTTCAATCTCAATGCTTAAGACATAAAAAGTTAAATAAAAATATTGCAGTAGAAGTACCAGTCCTGAATTAGAAAAAATAGTAATAGTAACAATCAATGGCGATGAATAAGGCGTAGATCGTTAAGTGTTTTCAATTACCTGTCCTCCGACGACGGCGATGGACGGAAGGGCGTCCCAGAGAGTAGGCATGGCGCTTTCCTCGCCGTGATCACCGAGTGCAGTGCACGCTCTCTGGATTTTGTTCACCAACTGTATCAGATTCTCCATTAGAAGAGTGAGTTAACTCGGAGATTCTGAGTTAGATAGATGTTGAAGCGCCAAATGCAGAAAGAAGGGGAGAAGTATAGGAAGTTGAAGCAACTTTCAGAACGATGGTTTTTGAAAAATTCCTTAACTGATTTCTGTTATGTGTCTATTCACCATTTTGCTCCTCTTCCGCTCTATTAACCAAGTGGATTTCATTTTCAGTGGCAAACAAATTTTATCACATTAATATATACAATATAATATTATATATATATATATATATATATATATATATATATATATGTGTGTGTGTGTGTGTGTGTGAAAATAATAGTAGTTATAAGAGCTTAGAAAATAATAAATTAGAATGGAAACTATGCTCTAAATAATAAGATTAGTTTATTTTAATATTAAAAATCTGAGTATATAAATAGAATTTCAGGTAACGAATTTTATTATCTAAAACATAATATTTATATAAAAACGATTATCTAAGAGTTCTCTACCGTCTTTCTGGGTCTTTTTATTCCTACATTATCTTTTTAACTATCAAAGAGTGTCTAAGTGATTATCGAAGTGAGGTCTTCAAGTCTGTTTGATTAGTTTTTGTCATAGAGTAAGTTAATTTTTATTTTTATTTTCTATTTTGTATGTTCTCTCATACATTTGAGCAGTTGATCATTGCATGTGTCATTTGAGTCTCTATATGGCTCTCTGCTGATTAGTGATACTAATAGAATGTTCTCGTCATGATTTTGTGGTTTGTATGAGAAAATAAAGTTTCTTGAACTCAGGGATTTTTTAAGTTCCTTAGAACATTTTGAGCTTTAAAAGGTAAAGGAAATTAACTATCACATTTTTTAGAGTTGTTGGTATGTTTGTCATATGTGATGTATGCTTGAACTAGTTTGAAATTGGTACACTAAAATAGGAAAAATTGTGGTTTTTCCTTACTAAATGAGTTTTGGTTGTCTAAGATTATGAAAATGAAGGTTTAGATAGTTAAATTTGTTGTTAAATTCTAGTTATTTGAAATATTGGTGTGATGTTTGGAATTAGTTGAAATTGGAGTGAGCTGATAGATTGAGTCTATATCTAGATGAGAAAAATGGTATTCATTTTGACAATGAAACATGTTTTTGGACTAAGTACTGAGTCAAAAGTATCAATTTGGTCATCTGGATAGGTTAGTAGATCAATCAGATCACATATTGAAATGTGTAGTTTTTTGGTATAGCGCTAAACACTAGTTTCACTGCAGAGCCCAAATGTGAATGGTCTCACATTGAGTGGTGGTAGGACACTACTGAACCTCAATTACCACTTCAGGTCTTGAACTAAGTTCATGTTAAATAGTTTGCCAAAAAAAATTATTTATAAATAATAGGAAACACAAATTGTTGACGGAAGAGACTATCAGATAAATAAACAAAAATATCCATAAATAATATAAATTTTAATTTACTAATAGATCCTACATATGAGTTACTGAAAAACAGAAATATTCATAATAATTTAAATTTTAAAATCAGTTAATAAATTTGAATTTATTGACAAATTTATGTTTGTTGATAACTATGAAAATTTTTGTAGTGTATTATTACTTAAAAGTTACTAATTTTTATCTTAATTTTAGAAGAAAATATTAATAATGAAACATTAATTAAAAGTATATCATAAGAGAAATGTCCTAATTAAACCTTACACCTTTTATCTATAGTTACCTCAAACTTTAATTTTGTCTTAATTAATTTTAAAACTTTTTCTTATGTATATATAAATACTTTAGATTTTAATTTTATCAATTGATTCAAACTTATTTTTTCAATAAACACCTTAAGATTTGATAAAGTTGGAAGGAAGGGTCACGAAAGTTGAATTTAACTTCCTTCACCTGGGAATTATAAGATTGATTTGAAATAAATGATGATAGAAGTTTTGAGTATTTTTAATATATTACTCAACTTTTGAAATTTTAGATCCACACTTATAAAACTTGTTGGATGCATACTATCTTACGAATATTTTCTAAAACAATTGAAATAATTATAAGGAATATTGATAATTTCAAATTGTTTATAATGTGTATGTAATTTATACATTGGTGTTATATATAGAGTGTAAAGAGATAAGCTACTTCTTTTTTGTAAGACCCGAGAAAATGTAAATCTTATATATAAGATTTGAGTATATTTCATTATATGTGAATGGGTTCATAGGATGTTGTGTAACTCAATTGGTTAATTGGCTAAGTAGTCACATGTTCAAGACTTGACTTGAATATAAATTTTTATGTTATTTATTTTATTGATATAAAGTGCAACACATATTCACTAGTAAAAAAAAGGGATTAGAAAGCGCAATATACGCTTCGGTTTAAGCGAAACCGAAGCGTATAAAAGCACGGTGGCAGATTCATAATAATAGCTTAAGTATATGCCTCGGTTGCCCCATGACCGGTGCCTAAAACGTGCTACTAACTCGGTTCTACGTAAAACCGAGGCATGTGCTCCTACTAACTCTCCATTTCTCTGATGATATTTTTCACTTCCACCGCCCAACATCTTCTTCTTCCCTCCCTCGTGCTCTCACTTCTCCCAACATCTTTCGTGCTCTGACTTCTTCTCTGTCGTGCTCTCACTTCTTCTCTGTCGTGCTCTCCCACTCTTCCCTCCGTTCTCTCCCATTCTACTGTAGCCTCCGTCGCTGCCTCCACCACTGCTGCCTTCGTCGCTGCTGCCTCCGTCGTTGTTGCCTCCGTCGTTGCTGCCTCCGTCGCTGCTACCTCCGCCGCTCCAGATTGTCATCGCCAAGCCGCTTCAGATCGCCAAGCTACTCCAGATCGGCGAGCCCTCCGCCATTGCTGCCTCCGAAAACGAGATCCCTTCGGCTGTTCGCGAAAACCCTACCGCCGGGAGCCACCACCTCGTTGTGCGACGGCTGCGCAGCTTCCACCTCGTCTGAGTGTGTCGCCTCTGGAGGGAAGAGCAAGCGGTGGCCGTTAGGGTTTGATGTTGATGGTTGTGGATTCGCGGCGTCGTCTGAGGTTGCTGATTCGCGACGGCCATGGAGGTTGAACAGGTTGCGATTGGGGTTTTTCTGATGTTGATGGTGGTGGTGCGAGTTAGGGTTTGATGATGGCGGAGGAGGAGAAGATGCAGAGGCAAATGCGGAGGGCGCGACGGCTCTGCGGCGGAGAATGTCTCGGTCTGAGAAGGTGAGATTTGGGTCTGGGATTTTTGTTTGATCTGTGTTTAGATTTCTTTGGGATTTTTGCTTGATCTGTGTTTTGGGCGCGGCGGCTCTGCGGCGGGGAAGTATGGAAAACTGGACGAACAGCAAGGCATAGGGCAGTACGTGGACAAAGCTGCCGATTATCTGCACCAGTATCAGGACAAGGTTGCTGCACCTTCTCAACCTGCAGATTCCAAACCTGAAGAGGGTGGTGGTTTGGGTGGTCTTGCAAAACTTTAGTGTTGTTGTTCTTCTTCTATGTAATATTGAATAAATATGATATGATCTCGTGTTCTTAGAAGAAAAATCTTTTCTTAGTTCCACAAACATTGAATGGATTTGCCTACAAGGTGTATTATCAGATTTCGTTTGTGTTAAATGCTTTCTGCTTTCAACATTGCATTATCAGATTTTGTTTGTGTTCAATGCTTTATGCTTTCTACTTTCTGCTTTCAATTTCTGCTTTCTGCTTTCAACACAATGCTTTCTTCTTTCACTGTACTGCCTCGGCTCAGGTCCCAACCGAGGCAGGAGAATATGAGATATTGACTCGGCTGACAACCGAGGCAAAAAGAGATAGAGTTTTTACCTCGTGTGGATATGCACCGGTTACAGAACCGGTGTTTATAAGCGTAAGTAACCGAGGCCATATCCCTCGAATGCACTAGTGATTATTAAATGATTGTTAAATTTGTGATGTCTAATATTCTCAATATAATGTATTGGCTTGTTGGCAGAGATGATGGTCTAGATCTGAATAGATGTGAGTTCAAATTATTATTTCGTTAGGGTTTCTAATTCTTGATGTTCTAGTTCTTAGTGATTCTTGGTGATTACGCAAGTGGAGCAACCATGGGGTCGCGGTGGTCGAAGTTGGTAGCTTCGGTCTATTTTTTATGGTTTTTGGTTGGGCTAACAATTTTGGGTTGGGTTGGCAAATTTGGGTTTGACTAACTGATTGGGCCGTAAAGACCCATTGTTGGGCAGTTTTAAAAAGGTTAAAAATAAACCAAGAGAATTGAAAATAAACACAATAAAGTTAAAAGACTTAGAAATAAACTTAATTAAAAAGAGAATTGGAAATAAATTGAACTAAAAAGGAAATTTGAAATTTATTAAAAGTATAATTGGAAATAAAAGTTAGATGATTTAAAAAGAAAAATAATAAAGTTTTAATTATATTTTAAATTAATTATAAATCAAATTAATTAAAATTAAATTTTGGAATTTGAAATTAATTTATTTCCAAAAGGGAAGTAATGAAATTTTAATGATTAATTAAAGTAATAAATGATTTATTATTTTTGGATTGGTATTGAATGATATTTATTTATTTGTTTTATTCATTTATTGTTTGAGTGGAACCGTGAGAGGTTCATTTTCAGTATATAGAGTTTTGAATGAGACTTTAGATAATGATGAATGAATAATGTTAGACAGAGAATGAGAATAGTTGTTGTATTTAAGTATATGTGAACTTTGACTGATGATTGGAATGTGTGAGTGTTGGAGTTGCACCTGAGTGTATGGCTGATGAACATAAGAGTGGGGGATAGGTCCACTTGTTGTACCTAATAAAGCCTGAGACTATCTATCGCTTGAGACTATCGATCATCTGATACGAGATAACGACTCCCTTTAACCCTGTGTGCGAAAAGGGGGTGCTCGGATATTGAGCCTTCTTTGTATGGGGGTGATGGTGTTTGCCTTGTCCTTGTGTGGCAAGAAAAATATCCCTTAGTCAGGATGGCGGGACTACTCGAGCAGACTTGTAAGGGAGGTTACAGGGGACCTATAGGGGAGGCTATAGGTTTGTGAGGTAGGGTACAAAAGTGTGACTGATTCTTTTCACTATGGAGT